TATTCACTTAATTAAATATATCACCCCACTTATATTAGTTAATATATTATTCATTATTATATTATATAATATATTTATTATTTTTTATAGTTATGTTCTAATCTAACTCTTCACTTAACTCCAATCATGCATTATACATTATCATTCATTATTTTGTGTATTCATCTTATAACCCTACCTCCTCTATCATATATATGTAATAACATATATATATCTTTATTCGTATTATATATACTCTTACTTTAATTATTATCCTTATTAAATTAATATTGATAATATAATTAAGATATTTATAATCATATTTGCTTAATCAAAGGTCTCATAATTTCAATTTATTACTACTTCTCATTAATAATTATAATTATTATTAAACTCTATATATACCTTATCTTATTTACATCCATGTCATATTAATATTACTCATAAATTAATTCATCATTACTTAAATTTATATTATTAATGAATTTATAATATAAGTAATTTCATTTCTTTATGATTTATATTTTATATATATTAGTTTATACTTATTTAAAATACTTTAATCTCATCCATTTATAATATATTTAACTAATCTATAATTACTTCGGTATGTTAATAAGTCATAGAATATATTCAAAATCTAAATATTTATAATTAGTTATAGTATTATTCATTCACTAGCTCGAACTATTATTTATGTTATCTATCATATCAATTGAATAATCCGATAAATTGATTAGTAGAGTATTGTTGTTAAATTATTGGTTTACTACATAAATACTATATATATATGAGTCTATTATTATTATTTATTAATTATATATTATTTCACTGTTAGATTATATATTATATTTTCCTTATTTAATTGATTATTTCCATGTTTATTTATTGCTATAATTCTTAGACATTAGTTCTAATAGTGTAATATATCTGATTTGAGAATCTTTCTTTTCATTTGATGTTATCTATTTTATTTCATCAATCAATTCATTACTTATCATTCCTTTCATATAGTTACATAATTATTATGAATTGTTGTTTGTTGTTATTTTATATTATTTATTTCATACTTCTTTATTTTTGTTTGTCGCTCTATTATCTGTATTTGTCACATCTTATTTTCTCTATTTGTTCTTGTATAAAGTTTATTGCTTATTGCTCTAATCTTTTCTAATTTAGCCTCTTCTCTTAATTACTATCTATATATCAATTTTCACTAATACTTTTCTGTTATATTAATTTCCCTAATATAATATGCCTTGTTTCTTGTCTCTTATTTCCGCTTTCTCCTTTATTTCTGTACTCTACCTCAAAAATATTCATCGTCCACAAATTTTCATTACTTGCTTTATATACTTATCTATTTCTTTTCGTTTCTCCTACCTCTTATTACAATACATTGTTAAACTTGGATAAATCCTGTTTCTATTCTCTTATCAACTAAACCTCTATTAACTTATTAAATTGTTATTCCATGTCTTTATCGGTTGTTATTGTTCATCACTTCTATTTTCCTATCATTATCATTTACCATTTTATCAATTTCCATTAATTACTGTGTTCCATCAATCAATCACCCTCTCCCTCTCTCTCCGTCATTCACTATTTGCTGTTATTCTCGTGCTCTAATCTCATTATTATCACTAGTAAATATCTATAATAATTATTTACTCTATCATCTTATCTATGTTATTTGTTCCATTCACACCCTCTAGCGATCACCTATCTATGTACGGTGCAGCTCTACGGAGTACCTCTCATGTGAAGTCAGATTTAATCCCAAGTCCACTGAAATTCGCCGGATCTTAAGACAGTGACCATCACATATTGCCTCGCCACTATCATCTTTTTATAACGCCCTCAATTCACGCACCATTTACGATTCACCTCTCATCATCATCACCGCCGGAGGCTTATGAACGAATCATCTATTCCGTCAGGTCTCCTAATCCCATCATCATCATTGCAACCCACAGCCACGCCACATCCTACCGAAACCGACCACCAAGCATCACCCACAGCAATCACTCTCACCATACCAGTCCATCTCACCTCTTCTCTCTCCACCATCCACAATCACCCTCACCACATCACCACATCCACCATCACCATCACCCTCACCCACCTACCATCACCTCACCAAACCATCAACGACCGCACCTACCAAACACATCACACCACCCACCATCACTACCATTTAATCACCAATCACACCATCACCCTAACACCAATCAATCGCACCACCCGTTCTACCTACCATCACCAACAGCCACCATCCTACGCACCATCACCACCTACCTACCATCACCAACCACCACCGGACCGCCATCACCAGACCTACCGATCCAACCGGTCAATCTATCACACCAGCCCTAAGCCTATACACACACACCACCATCACCGCAACCACCATAACCTCCACCATTCACACCTACCAACCAATCACCAACCAGCCGTCGATCATCCCCAAGTCACCTTACCATCACACCCACCGCTGACCATCACCACCACCGATTCCACC